AGACCTAGAACCAGAAATACCATTTCACCCAGCAATCTCATTACTGGGTATATACCCAAAGGAATATGAATCATTCTGTTACAAAGATACTTGCACACATATATCCACTGACTCACTATTCACAATAGTAAAGGCATGGAATCAACCCAAATGCCCATCAATGATAGACTGGATAAAGGAAATGTGGTACATATACACCATAGAATACTATGCAGCCATAAAAACAGACAAGATCATGTCCTTTGCAGGGACATGGATGAAGCTGGAAGCCATGAACTAATGCATGAACAGAAAACCAAACACCACATATTCTTACTTACAAGTGGGAGCTGAACAATGTAAACTCATAGATACGGGGAGGGGAACAACACACCCTGGGACCTGTTGGACGTAGGGACAGCATCAGGAAAAATAGCTAATGCATGCTGGGCTTAATACCTAGGTGATGGGTTGATCTGTGCAGCAAATCATCATGGCACATGTTTACCTATGTAACAAACTTGCACATCACGCACAGGTAACCTGGAACTTAAAAAAATATAATAAAGAAGTTTACAACTCAATAACAAAAAGACAAACAGCTCAATTAAGAAATGGGCAAAAGTCTCAAATAGACTTTTGCAAGAAGAACCAGCAAGCCAACAAACACGTGACGAAATACTCAGAGCAGTTAGTCACTAGGGAAACGCAAATGGAAACCACAATGAGCTACCTCTCCACACCCACTGGGATTGTGATAACTAAAAAATAAAAGGAACGTACAAGTGTTCACGAGGATAGAGAGAAATTAGAAGCCTTGTACGTTGCTGGTGGGAGTGTAAAATATTGCAGCCACTGTGAAAACACTTTGGAGGTTCCTCAAAAAGTTAAGCTTAGAATGACTTTATGACCTAGCAATTCCATTCCTAGGAATATACCCGAAAGAACTGAAAACAAATACTGAAAAAATACATACATGCACATGTTCACAGCAGCATGCTTTACAATAGTGAAAATGTGGAAACAGCTCACATGTACATCAGTGAGTTAATGGATAAGCAAATTGTGGGATGGTCATCGAATGGAATATTAGCTATGAAAAGGCATGGAGTACTGACACATGGTACAATGTGGATTAATCTTAAAAATCAGTGTGCTAAGTGAAAGAAGACAGACAGAAGCTATCACATATTTTATGGGGAGTGACTGCTTCATGTGTATAGGTTTTCTTTTGATACTGTGAAACTGTTTTGGAATTAGGGAGAGTTGAGTTAATATAACATGGTGGTTATATTAAATGCCACTGAATTGTATACTTTAAATGGTTAGTTTTACCATATATGAATTTTATCTTAATGAAAAGGAGAAAAAACAAGGAATGTGACTTCGGGGGATCTCTTTGGTTCTGAGGTCTTGGGCCTTTTCAGTGTAAACTCAGAGGAAACCTAATAGGGTCCAAGGTTTCCTCTTCTGTCTCTTTTTTTGTGGCTATGATAGTTTTGTGTCTGTGAGTCACTAGTGAGAGCCGAAAAGAGGGAACCACACCTTTTAGAAGGTGGAAGTCAGGGCAGGCATAGGAAACAGTGCGGCTCAGATCTTTCTAGACTTTGCACATCCCCCATTCTGTCCCAGCAGGTTTCTGATCATTTGAGAAGAGAGTTTTTCAGCTAGAAGTTGATTCCAGGAAGACACTAACACTTGTTCTTATTTCCGAATTTCTGTGAATCTGGTTATTTGTTCTCTGTTGCTGTAGCCTCCTCATCGCTCACTGCTTCTGCAAGTGTTAGATTGGCAGATGTGTTGTGTGGGAGTGAGGAAAGGAAATTTCCTATGTTAATTTCTTTCTGATAAGCACATGTGCAAATCTAGACACAGCCTCTTGAACAAAAAAGAAACAGATAAAAGAAAAGAAAAAATCTGGCCAGGCGTGGTGACTCACACCTGTAATCCCAGCACTTTGGGAAGGCCAAGGTGGGTGGATCACCTGAGGTCAGGAGTTTGAGAGCAGCCTAGCCAACAGGGAGTAACCCCATCTCTGCAAAAATACAAAAATTAGCCGAGCATGGTGGCGTGCATCTGTAATCTCAGCCACTTGAGAGGCTGAGGTAGGAGAATCACTTGAACCCGAGAGGCAGAGGTTGCAGTGAGCCAAGATTGTGCCACAGCACTCCGACCTAGGCAACAGAGCGAGACTCTGTCTCAAAAAAAGAAAAGAAGAAATTGATATCCCTTAATCTGTGTCTGTGTGTGTGTGTACGTGTGAGCTTTCCATACAGAAGAGATTTCCATTTCATGAAAACAGCATTTTAGCGTTAGCATTACAGTTAACTCATGATACCAATCTTTTCTCCTCTTGGTGCCTTGGTTTTATTAATTGTAGAGTGGATATACTGTTGCTTATTACCCAGCCCTCAGAATAATAGAAACAGTGTTTTGTTGAAGAAATACCCTACGTTCATAAAGTTTTTTGAAAACTCACCTGGGCATGGTAGCTCACGCCTATAATCCCAAGCACTTCTGGGGGCTGAGTGAGCAGGATCCCTTGAACCCAGGAATTTGAGACCAGCCTAGGCAACATGACGAAACCAAAAAAATACAAAAATTACCTGGATATGGTGGTGTGCACCTGTAGTCCCAGGTACTCAAGAGGCTGAGGTGGGAGAATCACTTGAGCCCAGGAGGTCAAGCCTGCAGTGAGGCAAGATCATACCACTACACTCCAGCGTGGATGACAGAGCGAGAGTGTCTCAAAAAAACCCAAACCCAAACCAAAAAACTTCCACATGCTGCATTGATTACTGAAGTACTATGGCTGTTTTTACAGAATGGCTTTGATAAGGGAAAGATGAGAATATCGGTCATGGAATGCAAGAGGCATTTTCCTCCTGGCTTTCAAAACGCCTCGGGGGTTTCCAAGCCCTGCTCTCCTAGTGTGCCTGTTTTTTGGTGGCAAAGTAAATATTACTTCCATTAACTAAAGGGAAGAAAAAGTTGTTTGCAGTCCACCAGCGTTTTGCCTGGGCAATTTTCTCCTGATGTGGAAAGCGTGCCCTGGGGGCCACCAGGTCACGTGCTGTTTTGCCCCTGCGGAAGGTGACCCAGGTCTGAAACCCGCCCAGCAGATGCCTCCTGAGGACAATTTGCTCTTCTCCTTCTGGCTCTTACTCAGCAGGTGCGCTCTTAGAGGCAGCCTCTGCCACATGCAGCACCCCTGGTGGATTTGTTTTTTTTTTAATAGCAACAATTCTAAGACCTTTTTCAAGAAAAGCTTTTCCAGAGCTTGGTCAAAGAACATCACTGGGTTGTCATTTCCTCTGTTACTAGTTTGAAGCTAGCCAGGTAGCTGCCTGTCCCACGCCTCTTGGGTTGTGGTCTGATATGGTTAGGCTCTGTGTCCCCACCCAAACCTCAGATTGAATTGTAATCTGAATTGTAATCCCGACATGTTGGGGGAGGCACCGCATGGGAGGTGACTGGATCATGGGGGCGGTTTCCTCACGCTGTTCTCATAGTGAGTGAGTTCTCAGGAGATCTGATGGTTTTATAAGGGGCTCTTCCTCCTTTGCTGTGCACTTCTCTCTGCTGCTACCTTGTGAAGAAGGTGCCTGCTTCCCCTCCCACCACGATTGTAAGTTTCCTCAGGCTTCCCCAGCCATGCGAACTGTGAGTCAATTAAACCTCTTTCCTTTATAGATTACCCAGTCTCGGGTATTTCTTCATAGCAGTGTGAGAACGGACTAACACAGGGTCCCACTGCCTGGGTGAAGGGGAGCATTATGGCAGTACCCAGGATGATGCTGTCCTGAACCCCATCCCTTCTACTCTGTGGCTGTCCCTTGACCTCAACCTCAACATTCTTTTGAGGAAAAGCACCATGAGCTATGAAGAAACCAGATGGTGGACTTTTAATAAAACCAAAAACATCAGCCAGGGAACCACTAGACCTGTTCCTTGAATGACTCACAGTGGCTGCCATCACTGGTGGTGAAACTGATCTATGTGGTGAGGATTAGCACATATCCAGCTTTAAAATGAATGGTCAAGGGTATTTTCCTACCCAAAGCTAAGATGAACTAGCTGCACATGGGGATTCATGGCTCTTATTGATCTGGTACACTCTGGCCTGATCGATTGACTCACGTTTGAATCCCAGTTCTGCCTCTTACAAGCTGTGTGACTTTGGGTAGTGCCTTACCCTCTCTGGAACTCAGTTTTCCTCCTCTGTAGAGTGGAGATGTCTGCCTTCTATGGTTCTGCTTCAGATTAAACGCCTTAACCCAGATAACACACTCAGAACAGAGCCTGGCATATCATAAACACTAGTAAAGGAATATGGTATTATTATTTTATTATTTTTCAGAGTCAGCTAGCATTTAATAAGTGTTCTATGTGTGCTCAGCATTGTGCTAAGTCTTAATATAATATTTCGTTTATTCCTCAAAATGATCTCACAAACAGGAGGTTAAGGAACTTTTCCAAAGACAAACAGTAATAGTGGCAGAGTGAACAATCTTAATATAAATTAAACTGACTCCAGAGTATTATTACTGCCTTCTGCAATGTTATTAGATGGTCTCCACATGCGCAATGAAGCCTAGAGTTAGTGAGCATATCATAGCTAATGACAGAATCCCAGGGGACATGTTGCAGTCTCTGCCTTTTGTGATCAGATGGGCTGTTTGGTCGTGACACCATGGAATACACGTTGGGGCAGGAAGCTCTGAGACTGGGGAGAGGCCCCAGAGAATACTTGGTAAGAGGATATACCAGGCTGGGCGTGGTGGCTCACACCTATAATCCAAGCACTTTGGGAGGCCGAGGCAGGTGGATCACCTGAAGTCAGGAGTTCGAGACCAGCTTAATGAACATGGTAAAACCCTGTCTCTACTAAAAATACAAATCTTAGCCAGGCATGGTGTGCACACCTGAAATCTCATCTACTCAGGAGGCTGAGGCAGGAGAATCACTTGAACCTGGGAGGCAGAGGTTGCAGTGAGCTGAGATTGCACCATTGCACTCCAGCCTGGGCAACCGAGAGAGACGCTGTGAAAAAAAAGAACAAAGAAAAGAGGATATACTTTGCTCCTACATCCAAGAAAGTCAGGGACACTCTTCCCACTCAGTTGCAGAAGAACTTCTGTGGGCAGCCTTTGTAGAAACAGCGGTCACAGGCCATCCATTCCCCACTGAGGGCCAGGTGGAGGGGACTTCCATGGTCTAGTCAGTCCCTCAAGGAGGAGACCAGAGTGGGTGTGGGAGGGGTCACTGGTCACCAAAGGATCAGGCAGGAGGATCAATGTCCTGAGCAAGGTAAAGTCTGGAAGTGGGCATGTGGCCAGAAGCTTGGCCCAAAACAGTGAGAACAGGGATCCCAGCGGGAGAAGGCCAGCATTGAGGGCAGCGATTCTGACCAGGTAGTCAAAGTGCAGGCTGGGGAAGGGGCCACAGCACAAATGCCCGGTGACTCCTGGCAGGGATCTTAGCACTGCCAGATATACACACATACACAGTTCCTATCTATCTCTCTATCTCTTTATCTGTCTGTCTATCTATCTGTCTATTCATCTATCTATATCTATATCATTTTATATATTTAAAAAACCATTGAAAATAATAGTTCTGAATTATTGGAGATAAATGAATGATTCCAAAAGAGGCGGAAAGATTCTAAGAGTTAATTTCCCCTCTGTATTCTGCCAGCTCCTTATAGCAGTTTTGATTAGACAGGAGCCATCACAGTTTATTAAAAATAAACAAAGCCAAGATGGGCCAGAAATAGATGAAAACCTGGTTCACATGTCTTGCCTCCGTCTCCTTCCTGTTACATCTCCATTTCCTGCAGTTGTCTGTCCAAAACAGTTTCTATTTTTAAAGCAACTGAGGATGCTTTTCAGGCTTGGGTTAGAGAGGCCTCTCTTTGGACCAACAGTCCCTCACAGTGAGTGACAAGCCCCCTCTGCCACCTTGGGATGGTGAATGGAGGGTTCTTTTAAGCCTAATGTCCTGCAGAAATTATCTGGGAAATCTACTAAAATAGAGTCTGGTCTGAAAGTAAAACATCTCCTTTCCAGTTTTCTTATACCCAGACCTTTGATGGTTTTTTAAAGAACTATATTTAGATGCAGAAAAAACATAATAACTTAGGCAAGATGGTTGTGATTTGGAAAAAGAGAGACAGCGAGAGAGCAAGAGAGGTTAGGGTACAAACCTAAATGCTATCAAAATGCCTAGTAGTTACGAAACAACCAAGGCGTCAAACTTAATATCCTTCTCCCAGCAAGTTCTCCAGGGCCAAGTCACCGCTGGGGCCAGAACCTTTTCAGCAGATCAGACTCTGCACATGGGTGCCGATCCAGAAGGGTGAGTCAGTGGATGCAGTGGGGTACCTGGGGGCCATTGCAGGTTTTGGTAATTATCCTTTATTTGAATTCTATCATACCTTTTTGTTTATAACCTTATTCTAAAAATAATTCAAGGTGGCCATGCTTCCCTTATACTTCTTGCAGCCACACCTCTCTTTGGTGGTATTTATTATGCTAGGGACAGCTCGCCTTACCTGTAGCTATTCTGTCATCTGGAGATTATCTCCAGCACAAATCTGGTACCCATTGCTCCACCGAGGAGCACATCAGCCCCTTGCAGTTGCCATTTGCCCCTCTTGAGCCTTCTCCACATAACCACATCCAATCCATTCCCAAAAACTAAGCTCAGTTCCCTCATCCCAGATGTTTTCACTGACCCTCCAGTTGGTATATCTCTTCATTTTTTTTTCTCTTTTTCTTTCTTTCTTTTTTTTTTTTTTGATAGAGTCTCACTCCGTTGCCCAGGCTGGAGTGCAATGGTGTGATCTTGGCTCACTGCAACCTCCGCCTCTCAGGTTCAAGTGATTCTCCTGCCTCAGCCTCCTGAGTAGCAAGTACCTGGGATTACAGGCACGTACCAGCCTGCCTGGCTACTTTTTGTGTTTTCAGTAGACATGGGGTTTCACCATACTGGCCAGGCTGGTCTCAAACTCCTGACCTCAGGTGATCCACCCACCTCAACCTTTTAAAGTGTTGGGATTAAGGTCGGGAGCCGCCGCGTCTGGTTTATCTCTTCCTTTATAAACTCATTGACATGTTGGCTGTATTACACAATGAATGACTTGCTAGATCAGAGTTATATGCTGATGTATGTATGTACAGTGTATATACACATAGTATGCACATTTATAGGCCGGGCGCAGTGGCTCATGCCTATAATCCCAGCACTTTGGGAGGCCGAAGCAGGTATATCACCTGAGGTCAGGAGCTGGAGACCAGCCTGGCTAGCATGGTGAAACCCAGTCTCTACTAAAAATACAAAAATTAGCCAGGTGTGGTGGCACGTGCCTGTAATCCCAGCTACTCAGGAGGCAGAGGCAGGAGGATCACTTGAACCTGGGGGAGGCAGAGTGGGCCGGGGGGCCACCGTTCTGGGATTGGCTGGCCTTGCTCAGGCCCTTCAGTTGCCGTGTCTTCCATGGGGTGAGGCGTCCAGGGGTCAAGTGGGTGCTCCTCCCCCTTCCTATGGGTCATGCTCTGGGTACCCAGGGGCTGAAACTCCTTGCCCAGATGACCCTGAGCCCCTTACAGAGAGTTTGCAGGCTCTTCCTTGGGTTTGGCCTCCCCAGTGCTACCTGCGTTGCTTGGGATGGGCACCCCTGGGACTGAGGGAGGGTCAGGGACTGTCTGGAAGGAGGATGGGGCGATGAGTACTTGGACACGCAGGCTGGGCGCCCCCTGCAAGTGACGGGAACTGAGGCAGGGCTGGAAAAGAAGCCAAGGCAGGCAGGGCTGCAGGAAGGCCCCGGAGTCCAGGGATCCTGGGCTGGAAGCTGGCCTCCCAGGTTGTCATGAAGTGCATTTGTGAAGGAAGGAGGATGGAAGCCATTGGTTGAAATTTTTTACCTTAATTTGTAACCTTTACATATTTAGGTGGATGGACGACTGGGCCTCTTTTGTACTTTTATTTTAAATGCCGCAAATGTTGGGGGCTTTTCACCTCAATGAAATGATAAGCTTTTGTCAGTGGTGTTTAAAAACGATTGTTATTTTTTTAAGAGGTGGGGTCTCACTCTGTTGTTCGGGCTGGAGTGCAGTAGTGTGATCATAGTTCACTGCAGCCTCATACTCATGGGCTCAAGCGATCTGCTTGCCTTAACCTTCTGGGTAGCTGGGACTGCCGGCCCGCACCACCACGCCTGGCTGTTTTGTTATTCTTGTTGTTTTGTAGAGACGGAGTCTCACTCTGTTGCCTGGGTTACTTTTGAACTCCTGGCCTCAAGTGATCCTCCCACCCCAGCCTCCCAAAGTGTTGGGATTACAAACGTGAATCACCACGCCTCACCTAAAACATGTTTTCATTTGATTTGTTTGTAACTGTAGTACTTACGGTCTGACTCCAAGTAACTGAAAGGATGTATTTGAGAAAAACTTTGTTCTACCATTAACTTATCCCTCTCCCAAATGAATATTTTTCCCGTCTAGAGTGTGTTGCGGGGGTGGTGGGTACATGTGGCAGATATCTATAAATGTCTGGGCTGAATACAGCAGCTTCACAGGTAATTATGTAAAATCATTTTGATCAATATTCAGTTCATCTCAACAAATAATGTTTTTTCAGTCTACAGTGTATTATCTTTTACTTCCACATACTAACCCCACTCTTCCTCTTGTTATTATCTTCCCCTGGTAATTTTCCCAGAGGCTTGCTGTGTCACCCAGGCTGGAGTGCAGTGGTATGATCTGGGCTCCAGAGTCAACTGATTCTCCTGCCTCAGCTTCCTGAGTAGCTGGGATCACAGGCGTGCACCACCATGCCCAGCTAATTTTTGTATTTTTAGTAGAGATGAGTTTCGCCATGTTGGCCAGGCTGGTCTTGAACTCCTGACCTCAAGTGATCTGCCTGCCTTGGCCTTCCAAAGTGCTGGGATTATAGGAGTAAGCCACCACGCCTGGCCAGTGCTTTCATTTTTATTAGGCCCTTTGGTTGTCATAAACTCTTAAACGGAGACATTGTCATCCCCATTTTATAAAAGAGAAAATTTAGGCTCAGAGAGGCCTAGTGACTTGCCCAAGGTCACCCATCTGTGAAGCAGAAAGGCCAGGCCGAGAGTGAAGGTCCTCTGACTTCGGGTGCACGCCTCTTCGCATGTAGCTTGCCCCCCTCAGGCACCCAGGACCATACTCTTGTCATAAATAATCACAAACATTTTAGTCGATGGATAGAACTTTGGTGCAAGATAAATTTCCAAGGGGTTAGAGTTATGTTGGTAAAAAAAATGAGATGGCCAGTAGGAAACCTCAACCCATGAAAAGATTTTGTTTTATCAAATACATCCATAAGTTTCCCACCAAACACAGGTTGACCTGAAGGTCAGGCAAAAAGAGGAGAGAAACAGCATACTATAAATGGTACGTTATATGAATGTTATTCCACTTCCTTTTAAGCCCATTTTTAAACAATCAGATTTACTGGGGCATAATTTACATAAATAACATTCACCCGCTGTAAGTGGACAGTTGGATGAGTTTGACAAGCATGTTTAATGGGAAAACATCTCACGGTTATCAGGACTCCGTCCTGGCGTCATCTCCTGTTCTCTGAAGTCAACCCTTCCGCCTCCCCAGCCCCTGCCAATCACCCATCTGCTGTCACTATAATTTCATAGAAAGGAAATCATACAATATGCAGTCTGCCGTATCTACCTTCTCTCACTTTCTTGAGCTTACTTTTAATTGTTCTTATGTTTATTGTTTTAGTCTTTAGGGCACATGAACTAGGCCTTACTCTCCAAGTGGAATCAAAGGCTGCCGTAATTCCTTCTGACTTGTTACTGATGGAAAATTGAAAATTCACGCAGAGTAGGAACCTCAGGCAAACTACTGCTTTGAATTTTTCCCCCAGTACATTGATGGGTTTGACGTCAGACAGATTTATGGTTTGAATTGCAGCTTTCCCCATTTCTAACCATGTCAACTTGGGCAGGTTTAATTTCCCTGGTCCGTGGTGCTCCCCCCTTTAAAGTGGGGATAATGACGGTGTGTACCTGATAGGGTTGTTCCGCTGACCAGGGAGGTTTTACATATAACGCACTGAGCAGTCTCTGCTGTGATGTGTACTCCACCACAGGAAATTAATACATTTGATGATCATTTAGGCACGACTTTGCATGTGCCTCCTGTCTAATCAGAGGACTTCTGCTTGGGATGGATGAGGGGAGACTAAGGAAAGGGGTACATTTATGGTATTTCTCAAGCCACACTAATATGGAGATTTTCCCATAACAGACTATGAGCCTTATCTTACGGTGCTTCTGAGCCACATGGTAACACCTTGGGTAAAGAGTTATAAACATTAGCAAATAAATGTATTTAAAGAGGAATAGTACTCTGCCTAGCTAAGCATTAATAAATAATTGGCTAAACTGTTTCATTAACTTGAGAAATTCCTGAACATTCAATATTCTCTCCCTTTATTTTCGTTTGGAATGTTTTCTTTGCAAACTGAACGGTCTGGGACTAAGCAGCCCATAAATGGATCAACCATTACTAATAAATAAAATTATTAATAAATAAAAACCAAACTAGTTTCTGAAAAAGTCACATGTTTACTGTAAGGCTACTGATGCATTTTGACAATCGGATTTCAACCCCCGTCCTTGGATTGTAAATATTCACTGGGTAAGGCAAGTGTACAAAGAAAAGCAAACTGAAAGCAGTCTGTGCTTCCCATAAATAGCACCTAAGGAGATTCAGCAGCCATATTTCCACAAGGCGCAATTCCATAGTTGGTCTTTTAATAATATTTTACCTTGATTTTAACTTCTTACTGCATCACAGATGTCTTTGTATAAAAACATTTTAGTGTTTTTAATAATTATTGTCAATGGTGGGACGAATGTTGATGTCAAAAATCTGGTCCTGTGTTTGTGTGTGTCTGTAGAGGCTGATTGTGTTCTTTATGGATGAGTTCTGACCGCTTGTCAGGGTAGAATGTTGAGACGGATGGGCTGGGGTGCATTCGCCATGCTTATGATTTTCAAAGAAACCAATTAACCTTTGCTGTGATCTTGACCTTCTTCAGAGCTTACCGATGCTAATCCTCGGTGCATCTTCTTTTAATAAATTTAGCACAAATCAATATCAGAAGTAATAACAATTTTTTAGGTATT